CTGTCAGCCAGCTCCACAGGCGGCCCCGTCCAGGAAACACACAGCAGAATGATGAAAAAGGGGTCCCTATGTCCTCCAGCAGTCTAAGCCTATAGCAGCAGAACTATAGAGATAGATCAGGATAACCTGAGCCACTCTAACTAGAAGCTTTATCAAAAAGGAAAGTTTTGATCATTCCTGAAAAGGAAGGAAAAGTTAATCTAAGACGGAACGTAAACGTTTGATCAGCAGAACCATCCAAGCCGCTCAGATGGAAGCAAACAGCTTCGTCTGTCCTCTGCTTCACGTCTCCGTTTCCTCCTTTATCCACGCCCGCCCTCCGATCAGCCAGCAGATGGCGCTGCTTTCTGCTCGTTCTTCCCACATGTTTGAAGTTTGTGACTGAAAGGATCGCTAGAAAGCACACGTTAGCCTGAGATTACAGTTAATCCACCTTAATCTCTGCAGCTCCTTCTGGACTGAAGACTTTAACCGGAGTGAAGCTGCCCCCCCCCGGCAGCCTAATCTCCATGGACGCCCTTGGATCTCGGAGCTTCCCTGCAGACTGTAGATTTGTACAGATGTGAAAATGTTTGCTGGTTCCCTTCCTGTCTCCTGTCCCCAGAGCTTTAGTGTGTTTGAGCGCCCCCTGCTGTAGCCCTGGATGCTAACCTCTGTGTTGGGTTTGTAACACTCGGTGGACGTCCAAATAAAAACAAGTGAGCTATGAGGGGCGTCTCCGCGTCTTTTCTTCTTCTGTAGCTCCTGCAGCAGCAGGACGTGGCCTTGGAGGCCCGCTCCGTCATTTCAGAACCTTTTCCTCCTCCATGTATCGATCATTTTATGTTAAACTGATTATCATCGTTTTCCAGCATGGATCCAGATTTTTCCATCTCGTTCAAATTTGTAAAAAGTTTATTTCGAAGGTTTTATGTGTTTTAGAATAAAATAATGTCAAACATCAGCTGCTCCTGCAGAGGAAAATGATTTAAATCATCTTAGAGTTTTTTCCATCATCTGTTTGGATTAAAGGAAAACAGGTGAGGAGCTGCAGCTCCTGGATGGACCTTCATCAGGTGCGTACGTCAGCTTCTCTAATCTGTTGGATTAGAAGAACATCTAGTAGAGATGGACCAACATCAGTCTAACCGATCCCTGATATGCGCTGCCAATATTTGGGCCTGATTCTTATTGCTTTCTCTTCCTCCTTTACATGATAGAAGTCCAACATGTTCAGATGTAAAAATAATATATCAAATATTGCATAATATAAACTATTTATATTATATTTATATACTTTAAATCTCTCAAACTAGGACTTTTATTGTATAGTTATTCTAATTTTAGCTGTTTATTCTTCTATCGATTGCTATCAATAAATAAACCAAGAAAAACTCCAACATTGTCATTAAATGATGCAGTTACACCGGCCCACCTCTAGAGGCCAGTGTAGTGCAGATCATCTATTTAATGTTTTCAGCAGGGAGTATTTTGGAGGCAGCCATCATAGATATTTATTTTTTCAATAGAATTTTATTTGTTTGTGCAAAGAACCTTACAGAGCAACCATGTTGCACTATAGGTATTCTTAACAACCATTTTTAATAAAATAAATTCAGATGTTTACCAGTCAAGTAAATGTCCTTGTTTTGTACAAAACAAGAAACATGAAAGAAGAAAAAAATGAAATGGTACATCTATTAAATAAAAGTAAACACTAGGGAGAAACAGCGCTCTAAATAAGAAGATTAAAAAGGACAAAGGCTTCTAGGAGTCTTCGAGAAATCATAGATAATTACTTTAATAATAACTTAAAATTTATTAAATGTAGATATTAGTAGATTTAAATATAATTCATTTGTAGAATGATTATTGATAAAAGTAGGTAATGATACTGTAATATATGTTTGCCCCAGAGCTCAAACCTGAAAGAATTTTGTCCACTTTACCTTTTATTTACACATTATAGATGTTAAAATAGATCCATCTATTAGTTAGCAAAGGCTGAAGGAAAGTCTAGTTAGTCTTTATTTAGAAAATAGGAATATTGAGCTCGTTCCTGTTGGAAGAGTGTAGATTGACCCTGAGCTTCTGGTGCCTTTCGGCCATCCCTTAATGTACATCGGTTACTGACGGGCCCGACCCCCAGCCATCAGTGCCGCATCCCAACACCACCGTCCTAAATCTAAATGGAATCTAAATTTGAAAAAATCATCATCATTCAGTTTAGTATTTTAATGACACTTCTTCTTGTTTTATTTATTTTCTTTATAGCATTATTTAAGACTGTGACACAGAAGTTTGTAAAACAAAGATTAAACTTACCTGATTAGCTTTGTCGCTCGAACCTCTCGGTCCAGACGGCATCTTTTCGTGAACGGACGCAGAATTTACTTTGCTGTCATGGGAAAGTTTTTCGTTTTATAAAATGTCTGCTTATTTTTATATAAATTAACAAATTCTGGAATGATGATAAGTGGCAGTTCCAGTGTAAATGTGTTTAAAGTAATATTTTTCATAGGATCTTACCAAAACAAGACGAGATCCCAAGTAGTTGGAGTTCCCACAGTCCCTGAATGCGACATGGATCGGGACATCTCTCCAGCGACTGAAAAAGGAATTTGAAACTAAGAGAAATAGAAACTGAAAGAAATGGATTTATATCTGAAAAATATAAAATTGCAATAAATAAAAGAAATAAATAAAATAATTAAAATACTGAACTAAATAATGAGTTTGTTCAAGCAGTTTCTCAGGTTTTAGACTGAAAATATGACTTGATTCAATATCAACTTTTTTGTTTTTCTGATTTCAACTTTAGATTTTTTAGTTTGGAGATTTATAAGTTTACAAAAATTTTGACCCATTTCTAACTCCATACATTCTCTCCATTGTGGCTCTGAAGTTCAGTTTTTGTGACGTGCATAAGAGGTTTTATAGGCATTGCCTCATATTTCTACACAGTAACTCCAGTAAGGTGATATAAGCGCAGAATATGAAGTGCAACATAATTTAGGAAATGTTTATCTTTGCTAAGAATTGCAATACTTCTGGGTATTTTAGTTTGAATGTATTTTATACGAGGTCTCCAGCTAATCTGATTGTCTATCATTATTCCAGAGAACTTCATTTCCTTAACTCTCTCTGCTTTCACTGTATCAGGATTCCTAAACTTGTTTTACTTTGGCAGTTTCCAAACAACATAAAACAAATTTAATGATAATTAAATTCAAAAAGTATCTCCCCTCATCAATCATTAAATATTAACCAGACTCTGATAAAAAAGGTTAATTTTATTAATTGTATCTGGAAAAAAAAAAACAACCACACTAGATTAGAAAAGCAAAGTAAGGATTACCAGCTTGGAGGTTTAAAAGCACCAGAAGTGAATCTACCATCAGCATGATGAGAATAAACTGGATAAAGCAGGTTTGCTCTGTTGGGTCTTAAGTTTTTGCTAAAAAGTGATTTTTTATTTTATTTCCAAACTGCTCTTAAAATGATCAGACTTCCATAAGCAGATGCTAGTCTTAATGGAAAACGTTTTTTTCTCACAATTTAATTCTACACAGCACCACCTTGTGGAACAACAGGGCTATTACAATAAACAGGAACACATCAAAGCAGGAAGATTAAAAACATTTTTTTCATCTGTGAAGCAATTCCATCTTCCTTAATTCAGCTAATCAAAACCTTTTGGTTTATTTACTGATTTTGTGAACTTAACCGGATTCCAATCTGTAAAAGAGTCTTCCTAATTAACTAATACCTTGTAATCATTTAGATTTTCCTGTGCAACTTCTAGATTGTTCATCTCTAGATTGTTCTGAACTGGCCTCCCCTTCAATTGATCTCTACTTTTTCAGCTTTTTCTCATTTTTTGATTCTATTCTCTTCCAATCTTCTTCGTTTTTTACCATTTCCTTCTTCCATCCTACAAGAATCGCTTCCTGTTTCCTCGCTACTCACGACCCAGAACATTTATCCACAAGCGGCTTAGAAACAGGCGCCATGCACATCTGAATCCCGCCGGACGCCATCCGTTCAGCCTGGTCTTTGTTGAGTCTCCATTTATA